TGGATTAATTCATAGAATCATAGAATCATTTAGGTTGGAAAAGACCTTTAAGATCATCCAGTCCAACCATTAACCTAACACTACCAAGTCCACCACTAAACCAATTAAGGGGAGAGTAATAATTAATTTCATGTTTCCTGGCTTGGTGGCTGGACTGTTTGTTAATGAAAGAAAAAACTAGGAATCATTAAGGTTGGAAGGAACCTCTAAGATCATCAGTCCAGCCATCAACCCAACACCACCATGACCACTAAGTGGGCATGTCCCAAAGTGCCATGTCTACACGTTTTTTTAACACCTCCAGAGATGGTGACTCCACCACCTCTCTGGGCAGCCTGTTCCAATGCTTGACTACTCTTTCTGTGAAGAAATTTTTCCTAATATCCAACCTAAACCTCCCCTGATGCAGCTTGAGCCCATTTCCTCTCATCCTGCCACTTGTTACTTGGGAGAAGAGGCCAACACCCACCTCACTACAACCTTCCTTCAGGTAGTTGTAGAGAGCAATAAGGTCTCCCCTCAGCCTCCTTTCCTCCAGGATAAACAACCCCAGTTCCCTCAGCTGCTCCTCATAAGACTTGCTCTCTAGGCCCTTAATTAATTGTTATTAATTTGAGGTATTCAGGATTTCATTGGCCATTTGAAAAATCCAGATCCCATCCAAAGCTCCCTGCAACCTTAACCTTAACAACATCCTAGGACAGTGAGTTCTTCCATCTCAACACTGCAAATTATGTTTGGACTGTGTTTCTTGTGGGGGTGTCATTCACACAAGGAGAATGGTGGAACAGGTTAAAATGTACCGGAAAACTTGAAAGTCAGTAATAGGTAACCAGTGTGTTCAGGAGGCATGAGCCAGAGACTGTAAACTGTGCTCTAAAGGCAGGTAACTTATTCTCCGTCCTCCTCAGGGGTACAAGATGGATGATCTTCTGACCTCGTATATCAGCCAGATGTTAACAGCCATGAGCAAACAGAGGAGTGCGAAGGGTAGCAAGTGAACTGCAAGAAGCCACTGGCAGGTGGCCATGGGGCTAATTCACCAGCTGAGGCCTGTGGGATACCTGTGCAGCTGGGGGAGAACCTTTGCCTCCCAGGTGTGGAAGATGAGCCGAACACCATCAGGGAGTTCACTGGACTCTGACCTTGAGGGCTCAAATCCCACTTCCCCTTCCAGTGAAGATGACTATCTCTGACCTCCCGATCTCCTTCCCCACCCTGCACCCCAACTCCATCTTACACCTCAAAGATTTCCAGGGGACACCACCGCTCTCAGACAGTGACTGAGCAAAGACACTACGGCAGGAGGTTTGCCTGAACAGTTGGCATCACAAAGGCTCTTGGAAGAGGATTTGTGTGTGTGTGTGCGCGTGCGCGCGTGTGTGGCTTGGTTTGGTTTGAGGTTGTTTTTTTTTTCTTAAGTAAGAGAGAGTTATCGGGATGCTAACAGCTTTTGGTGAGGTTATGGGCATTTCAGGTTTGAAGAGGAGTAACAGAGCCCTGACCCATGCTGGAAAGCTATCCAATGAACACTGCAGGGCTTGTTTTTTGACATTACAAAAGAATACGTTGTGTTCTTAAGGACAGAAAGAAAAAGCAGGCTGGGAGGAGCACATTTTAACTAGGAGTCAGAATAAACAAACTACTGATTGAACAGGCTAGAGTACTAAAGTGCTGTCCGTGCAATGCTGGAAGTATTTAAAGAACAAATTTTAAAGTTTTGTTTCTTCTTCTATTTATTTTTTAAAATATTAAAAAGGAAAAAAAATCCTGCATTTCGTGCCAGTATCTGGACACTGACTTGGGGCTGAGGGCGACCTGCAGGACAATCCCTCGCCCAGGGATTCCCCCAGAGCCGTGATTGCCGGAGGCTGAGTAAGGCACATCTTTCCCAACTTATGGGCTCAGCTGGAAGTGATGCTTGGAAGACAAATTATCTCCTTTTGGCCCCTGTGTCCAGGCAAATTAACCCTGGGAGGATCTTTACTGCAAGCTTCAATATGGATGTAGGGGTTTTGAAGCGCCCCTGCTTGGAAGACTGAGGCCAAGCCTGTGTTGAGCTGTGATTCACACACAGCCTTGGCCATCAGGGTTGGAAACAGCTAATGATTTTATTGTGCTTTTGTGTGTGTTGCTGTATAAAATGGCTCTTTACGAGTCCCAGCTGGACCTGAACCACTCACAGCGAGGGTAGGCCCTTGATTTCAGTGGGCTTTTCTCCATCTTTGTTTGGCTGTAGTAATCTGTTGGCTGGTTGTCCTGTCTTCCACCCGACACCACACAGTGTGGACAAGCCTGCTTTGGAGCAGAGATGGGACCTGCCAGCTGGGATGAGGCTGAAGCCATGTTGTGTCTGAGGGGATGCAGAGAAAGGAGCCTGGGGTGCCTTTCTAAAATGCAGGCTTCAAAGGAGCACATGCTTGAGTGTGTGGCAACAGGAGGGGTGAGAATTGTCCACCAAGACCTGGTGCTGGTGTCACTAACACTGAGTGGATCTCAGTAGATGTGGGAGACGTCTCTTGGTCCTGTGCATTGGGCTGGTTTTGGCTGCTGTTATAAAAGTCCATATTGTAGGGTGTTGTGTGTTGTTATGTTAAGCTCAGCTGGCCTCAGTTGCCCGACACTATGGCATGCCAGGTAGAGTCAGCAGCACTGCCTACCAGACCTCAAGGACTGTGATATCTGACTGGGATGCAGCGGTGACTTTGGACCTCGGTTGCTCCACCAAAGCAAATGAGATGCTGCACGGAGACATCTATCAGCCAGTCAGGGCTGCTAGGCCATCCCCCTCCTCCACCATCGCCCTACCCAAGGCACTCTGGTGATGGGAGCATGGTTACACCAGCCAAGGCTACATTGGGAGCCAAGCTGCCTTCTCACCATCCATCTCTGATGCTTCTCTCCCCTCCCCAGCTGCCATGATCCAGCTGTCCCAGGGATCCCACCTGTCCTTAGACACGTGCCCATCATCCCCACCACCACCACTGCTTTTGTGAGTCTCCAGCCATCCCTGCCTCCCACAGCACGCTCAGTAGACAATGCACCATAGCAATGTTTTCCAGCACTGTCCTGGGCCAGCTTTCCCCTGCCACCACCCTCATCCCTCCACTCACAGCTCTGTCAGCCTCCCATGCACCCCACCATTTTGGGCGGTGCTGGGACTCTGTGTGTGTGTGCGCCTGTGTGTCATATATATTAGCATCTGCTGGCCTCTTTGTATTCACACCAAGTGATGTAACATGAAAAACATATGTCCAAGCAAAATACTCTAATTAAAAAGCATCAAGTGGTTTGTGGGAGGCTGTTCTGCACTGCGTGGTTGTGGTGGTGTCTCCATGGGGAAGGGTGGGATCAGGGGTGCCAGGTCCTTGTTGGGGACAAGACTTCTCCTTGCAGAGTGGGACTCCTGGTGAGAGTATCGAGCAGTGGGGAGCAAATCATCAGTGTGCCTGGACTGGAAATTAAGTGAAATCTTTTATTTTTGGGTAAAAACCACTGGAGTCTGGGGAGTCTCCATTGCTCATCCTCTAAGACAAGGGCTGGTTCCTCCACAAAGGCCAGTTTTGAGCTGAATGACTGCATGCAGGAAGTACCAAGTGAAAAGTTTTTGTGTAGGAGTCAGACTACCAGCCATGTGCTTAATGGCATTGCCAAACCCTGCTAGCTGTGAAGCAGCAAAAATAGTAGCTGAGATGTGACAGGGCATAAGGCATTGCAGGAGACCACAGGTCTAACTGGCCAGGCTCTGCCTGGACAAGGCTGCAGAGGATGAGGAAGGTGAGTATGGGGAGATACCACTGTGTAATGGTCAAGCAGCAGCTAGATACATGGATGAAGGCACATTGAGGTGGCTTTTCCTAATACATATTAAAAGTCATGATCGGGGGACCACAGCTTGCCCCAGCCAAGTCCCTCACCTGGACACCAGGGGACAGGCCTAGGACCCCATGGTGCACACCACCACTCAGCCCATATACTCGCCACCTCCTGTGTTTGCTGCTCACATACCTCCATGCAAGTGGTACCCACAAAAAATTATGAACCAGCTATGGATGCGGGGCATGGGGAGGGGGTTTAACAGTATCAGTAACATTCTCCCCCCATGCTTCATAGACCTGGAGCAGCTCTACACCAATCCACCAGACCTCTAGCCCTTTTCCAAAGGAGGATGCTGCCTTTTTGCATTTCTAGTCTCCAACATACTTCAAAATTGCAACTTGGAAAGTTTTGAGTGCCTCTCAGCACAGATAAGTCTGAAACCTAATGCTTCCCTGTCACGATTCACTTGTGATAGCTTTATTTAGCAAAAACACCGAGCTGCAAGAGGCTCATGTATGAGAAAATATCTATAGCCAGATTTATATAAAGACTACTATTTTCTTCCCCTTTTCCAGTTTGCCAAAATAAGAACAAAACAGGATAGGAGAGCTAAAATGTATTTAAAGCATCACTTGCAATTTACAAAAAATGTGTTCTTATTATCTGTTCAAGTAGAAATTTATGGCTTAAACCTGGGAGATGCTCACATCTCCCTTGCAGAGCAGGGCATAGACTCCCTTCCCCCTATGTGCCAGCAGCCACTGGGAGAAATGAAAATCAGAATAAATCCTAGGGTGTAGAGCAGGTATACAGACCTTCCCAAGGGAAAAGCAAACAGGACACTTGGTGGGACCAATTCACATGCAGCTCAATCCTTCTGAAGAAAAGTGTTGTGCTCCTGGACATAGTCCCAGAAACTACATGGTCAAGGCACCAAAAAGTTCTTCAGCACCCGTGGGAAGATATGCCCCTGCCCACAGCCAAGGGGAGGAGACTGTCCTGTTAGGGTCTATGGCAGGGCAAGAGTGGGGAAAAGGAAAAACCTAAGCTGTCCCTGCCTGTGCTATAGAAAGGTATGGACCCTAGTGACCCAGCCAGCAGCACTTGACCATTGTGGTGGGGCTGGTGTGCTCTCGGGGATGGAGGAGACCTGCGAGAAGGGAGGGAGGGAGTGTGTGGAGAACAGGCTGGTCTGACAGGAGAAACATGGGCAACTGAGAGTGAGGAGGAATGGAGGATGCTCAGATGTTTGGCAGCATGTGTAAAACACAGCTGTGGAAACAGAGGGCTTGCACACAGCAGGAGGGATCACAGGATGATTGCCCTGTGGGATGGCAGTGGTCTCATTGGGAAATGGTGGCTCCCATGTGGTTGCAGCATCTCATCACGGAGCACAGCTTCTGCATGGCTGAAACTCCATCTGCGCTCCCCTACACCCCAGGGATCCCTGCCAGGCTTGGGACTATGAGGAAAACTGTAGGAGAGGAAACTCGGTGCTCATCTCCGGCAGGGTCATGGAGGCAAATGGCTCCTCCTCACCAGGCAGATCTGAGCCCCCCAGCTCAGCAGGTTGGTGTTTGCATTGCAGGAAGGGTCAGCAGGGGAGGGTCTGCTCTCCAGTCCTCATCAAGGTGGCAGGTACGCGTCCCCTCCCTGCCCATCAGGCCGTGACAACAGGCATGTCGCTGAGCTCTGGAAAAGGGGACAAGCAGTGAGCTACCGAAACATCTGCGGTTGTTTTGCCAGCCATTGTGAGCAAACAGAACCTGGCTGAAAATGTGTGCAGCCCAGGTTAGGTCATTTTGTTTGGGTGATAGAACTCCATGGGTGCCAAAATCTGGTGCATGGGAGGGTCCCCAGCTGATCCCACCCTGCCTTGCAGGCCCAAGAGTGCTCAGCACCTCTGGGCTCTCTTTTCACAGCATTGCAGAGTAATGCATGTTGGAGGGGATGTCTGGAGGTCTCTGCCCCAACCTCTGCTTGAAGCAGGGCCAATTAAATCAGGCTGCTCAGGGCTTTGAACATCTCTGAGAATGGGCCCACCTGTCTGGGCCCCTGTTCCAGTATCTGACCACCCTCACCTGGAAGCTTTCTTTTTTTTTCTCTTTATATGTAGGCAAAATTTCCAAGGTTGCAGCTTGTGCTGTTGTCACTGTGCATCCAAGAAGCGTCTGGCTCCATCTTCTCTACACCCTCCCATTAGATGGTTGCAGACAGTGATAAGATGTCCCTTGACCTTCTCTCCTACTGTGCAAACCCAGATCTCAAATGCCCCGTCCTCCAGCTTAGAGGCCCCACTGAACTCGCTCCCATCTGTCACCATCTGTTTGGTACTGGGAGCCTGATCTGGACCCAGTGCCTAGACGTGGCCTCACCAGTGCTGAACAGAGGGGAGGAATCACTGCCACCTGCACCCTTACCGAGACAACCGTGGATGCCTCCATCCTTCACCACAGCATGGGCCCCCATCACCAACCCGTCCCTCAGGACCCTGGTGCCCCCATGGAGATGACCTGAGCAGGATGCAGCTCCCAACTCTCCTTGTCCTACTCACCTGTCCTGAACTTGTTGTAGGTGCCACTCTCCAGCATTGGGCCACCATCATGGGCACAGCAGGAAAAACTCCGCTCTCGCCACCTGCATGGGGCAAAGCACCTGGGTCAGGCCACCACTTGCTGTGGTTTCCCTCACAGCTCCCTGGTACCCTAGACACCTTTTTTCCACTTTGCCAGGGCAGGAACTGCCCTGGTATTTTGGGATTTGCTCAGGTCCCTACCAAGAAGAGACTCCAGTGCATGACTGATGTCTAAGCATCCACACTTCACATGTGCAACAGCATTTTGAAGGCAACTATGTGACTGATCCTTGTTTTCTAAGAAATACTTAAGAGCTTAAAAGCCCCAGAAATGTTTGCAGCCACTGGTTCCTAAGCAGCCAGGGAAATTTAAAAATTGTAGTTTTGGTGCATTCATAAACCTAACAAACAAGACCACACAGGACTCTCAGGCACTGCCGATGGCAGGGCTGCGAATGCCCTCGCTGCAATGCCAGCACAGAAGAGGTTGTTATTTGGCTGGATCAGAAATAGCTGCAGGGCCCTGAGAAATGCATGCACAACATGAACAGGAGCCTGGAGGAGACAGGCATGGGAAGGTCTGATGGTGGTGGTGATGCATTGCAGGGGTGATTGCGAACCACCCTGCAACCTGCAGCCTTGAAAGCAAGGTGAAAGCCGCTAAAGCAGGACATGAGGAAGGACTGCTGAGAGCAGGGCAGGGTGAGAGGGGAAGAAAGGGAAGGAGCCACTTTGCCTTGGGAAGGGAAAAGCCTGGATGCCCAGCAAACATGCCTGTACAGCTGCTAGTTCATCACCTGGCCGTACTGCTACTAATTCATTTCTCCACCATCCCAGAGCAAAATTAGAGCTGCCAAAGCAAGTCACGGTTACAAGCAATCCAGACTGCTCACCCTGGAGCTTCCCGAAGTTTTCCCTTGCTGTCACCTGCAGCACAGTTGTGCTGCCAGCACCCCTGCAGAAAGCACCCCTGGGCTGGCTGGTCTGGTCCTTCCACCCATCCACAGCCAGCCAGCTGAAGAGCTGAGCCCAGCACCTCCTGCTTTCCTTGGTCACCACTGGGATAAGAGCACAAGCAAGTTCCTTATCCAGCCATGGCAGAGCAGAGCATCCAGCAGCCTGACCTGACCTGCTGGAGTGAGCGTGTCCTGATATAAATAATTGATTTCCCAATGATTAAACAGAGGCAATATCTTTGATGGAATGGGAGGAAACAAAATGTGGTGTCTGTGGCACACTCAGACATTTTGATCTGGGAGGATGGATTTCCTCGGGGGCTCTGGCATCTGCAGACAGACACAGGGTGCTCAGATATTAACATGGAGAGCTTTCCTCCTAAGTCAGTCCAATGCAACAGTGTCTAAATGGTAATAATAGAAAAATCAATTCCTTTCTCAGCCCATCAGCTTTGATAACTGGTTCATGTTGCTACTGTAAATCCACCAGGTCTCCACTGAATCCTGAGGGTAGATGATGCCTGAGCTGCCAAAATGGAAAGGGAAAATGAGAACAAGCAGGAGCAGCAGAGAGGCTTTTGGAGACTTTCAGGGCTCTCTTCTACTTCCTGAAGGGAAAAGAAATGTTCTCAAAAAGCAGTTTGAACCCTTCAGATCACCTGAAAGCATCCCTCCTTCCCTCCACCCGGTGAAAAAGATCAGGTTAGCATGGCCATTAGCAACTCAGTAGTTACCAGTGCAGAGCAAAGATGAGTGAGATGAGGAGCACAGAGGTCAGATCTGTCAGGATCCACATCATGTTGTACTGCTGTGGAGTCTGGAAGAGAACAACAGAGGATGTGTCCACCACCAAGGACCTCAAGATATGCAAAAAAGTTCCTCAAACTTTCTTGTTGCTTGACTACGGCAATTCAGCTGCCTGGGTGTATGTGCAGTAACATCTCTCAGGTGCTTAAAGCATCTGGTGGCATTTCAAAGTGGCCATGCCCCAGTGGGTGTTGGTGCCAAATCATCATGTCTCATAAAAGCAAATCTCATGGGTGGCCAAGCAGATTGGACCACATCACAGTAAATATAACAAGGGACCTCTTGTTTGTACAGGCAGGCCCTTTAGTTCTCTCTTCTTCCCTCCAACATTAACATCAACTGGTGGCATCTCATTTTCCCTGGCAAAATTGTCCTTTAGTGAACACCACAGAGGGTCTGTGGTGGCTCCTCCCTTAAGTGTAAGAACATCTGAAGATTCATCCTTAGACTGGACCTCCACCCACCCTCAGAATGGACTGAAACACTGCAGTTTTCTGGATGAGAGCATCATAAAATCTACTTCAAGAGTGTGAAGCCAGTTATTCAAAAGAGTAACCTTTAGGCTGCAGGGACTCTGATGGGGCCAGTGCCCCAGGTACTCCTTAGCCCTACAGGTTGTCCAAGGCAGAATAGGGAACAGACAACTTATGTGAAAAAAATCCCTCCCAGCAAGGAAGGGTTGTTCCTCTTGGGCTTGTGGCACCAGACCAAGTCTGAGAAGGGCGGTGGGAACCCAGGGAAGCCCTGGGAAATGAGGAACCTCTGATTTTAATAAGGTGCTTCAAAAGCTTAGAAATGGAAATCCTCTTGCATCAGCTACATGTGCCCTCAAAGGCCCTTCCTTTCTCCCCACACAAGTCTCAGTATGACTTCATTTCCTTCATCTCAAGGTCTAAGTTGCACATCTTAACAAGCGGGGTGCTTCTACCTGGGCCAAGAGAAAAGAGGAGAAGGGTATGGTGATACCTGGAGTGTGGCTTACAGGTGTCAGGTAAGCCAGCTTTCAAATCAAGTCCTTTTCATGCGAAGAGTCATCTCCTTTATCCATGCATGAACTAGCCCATGGTCTCCAAAGGTAACCATGAACATCCCAACCCTACTTCCTGTCCCTGGGAGGGGGAGGGTTTTTGCTTACCATGAGAAAGAGTGGCTGGCTGAGATTCTTCAGCGTGTGGACGGCATTGGTGGTCACAGAGTGTGCCCCAGAACACCATGCCAGGGAGAAAAGCCACGGCTCATTGACCACGTAGAGGTTGGTGGTGATGTTTGCCTCAGCATATTTCCTTTAAAAGACCAAAAGGCAATAGTCTTCGTTAAGAAAAGCAAGGAGGTTAGTACATCCTTTGAGCTGAATCAAGGAGAAATGGCAATTCTCTGTAGGAAAGACTTGCTTTAGGACCTAAATAAAGAATAGAAAGGAAGGTCAACCAGCCAAGAATTAATCATTTGCAATTGGCCAACACAGAATACCTGATCTGCTGGAGGGAAATGCAGTTAAAATGTCCAAAAGGTCAAAACTTTGCTTGCCACTCTGCCATATGGATTGATGTAATGATGTGCTTGTAATCTCCCAATAGTGTGTTCGAAACCACCTTGAAGCTGGCTACTCTTGTTTGTTATGTTTGCAGCATCAGCTGGTCACTTGTCAAGTTCTTATAAGCTATTAAAACTTAATATGAAGTGAGACCATTTTCTGCATAATGCTAAAGGACTGTGTCATCAGTATCAGCATTTGTAAATCTACCCAGCATTTACCCAAATGGATCTGCCTAGGATTTTAAATTCTGTGAAAATTGTCATTGAGACAACACGAACATTTTTTTTCCTTCTTTTTTTTTAAATTAGATTTCAATACCTTTGCACACTGGAAAGAGCAAAAAAAAAAATCCTATTTACAAAAGCAGAGCTGGACAGGTTTTTTCTTTTTTTTTTTTCATATGAGAGAACCATTTTGGAAACTTCTGCAATGAATGTAGACCCTTCCATTGGAGAGATGACATTTTCAGTGTGTCACAAGCAACAGAGTACGGACAGCAACAGAGACAAGAAATGAAGTTTCCAAAACACCAGCTACAAGAGGGTGATGGTCTCTCACCACAGCATTTCACACTCACTGATGTTCGTGGAAGAACCATGGGAGGTTAAATAACTGTTCATTCTCCACGATTCAGTGTTGGTGGGACTGGGGATGGCATGAAGAGAAAGACAAGAAATCAGGAGACAGCTGTGTTATTCTACCCAGAAGATCCTCAGATACTGGTCAAGTAAATACGGACTTGGGGCCAGGGGCATGCAATTACATATGCCATGTCTTGGCCACACACACAGTCAGCAGTAGGAGTGAACTGCAGTCCTTCACCTCCAAAATGCAACAGAAATGGCCATTTGATCTAAAGGAGCTCTTCCCAAAATGCTCTAGATCCTGGAGCTGGTCACTGGAGGGAGACATTGCCACATGCATGAGGCAATGGTACACCAGCTGCAGTCCACCGACCGTACTTGGGGCTGAAACTGCAACCTACCGGATATCTTCACTGGACATTTCAGTGTAGGCCAGATTGAGTTTGACAATATTGCCCATCGACAGGTCTTCAACTGGGGCCTTACTGCCCAATGTCTGCTGAAACCCAGGAGCAACAGACTGAACAAAGGACCTCATGTCATTCTCCAGCCATAGGACCTGCAGGCAACAAGAGGACCCAGTGAATTCCCAACAGACTTACTAATATGCCCTGCCCTTCTCACAAACCCAGTAAAGATAAGGTCTTGAGGAGCTTAACCCAGCCTGTCAAATTATGTATTTCTTTCAACTATCAAAGAGCATTTGGATGCGGGGTTAAAATTTGCAAGTCACTTTCATCAAGAAATAAGTATTCACTGTTCCTTGCTTATCAACTTGAAATCAGTGAGTACGTTTCACACAGCCCAACAAAAGATGCGGTGTTTGAAATGGATGAAAAGACAGCTTTGGTTTATGGGAAAGGCAACAGAAAATGTTCTGTTCTCCCATTCTCCCAGCATGGGAGAAGACAACTTCAGCAGATACAAATCAACATAACTCCCCAGATATCAAGAGATACATAACCTGATCCACATGGATTTAGCAGCTATCCCAAGCAGGGAATTGCCTGGGGAAGGAGGAGGGCAATGAAGGCTCCCAGCTCCTTGTATTATAATTTAAGCCAGGAGTTTCTCTGCAATATATAAAATAAGCATGGGTGGCATGGAGTAGGCTGCCAATGCTTACAGTGATGAAAGGGTGCCATTTAGGGTCTAAGGCATCAGCTGGCATATACACTGGCTTACTTCCCTGTCCTGCTGTAGGGTTACACCATTTTGTACCTGCTGAGGAACCGATAGTAGGAATATACTCCAAATGATGCCTCTTAAAACAAGTGAAATGAAAGGGGCCAGATTTTATGCAGGTGAAATCATGCAGGGTATGACCCCAAAGTCCTAATTCAGAGAACATGAAAAAAGGATACAGAGGGATGAGGCCACCCTACCAGATGGGGTCTAATCCCTGACTCATTGAGGATGACTTCCAGGGTTCTGTTGATCCACGAGTTCCTGTAAGGATGTTTCTCTGGAGGGCGGTAGAGATCAAATATCACAAGTTTATTCTGACTGTCTGCGAGGCGCAAGAAATTACTTAGCTTGTAAATTGACTGATTCATTGCCTGGTTTTGATCTGCCCTTGACAGTGAGCCCATGCATGAAAATGGTTTGTCCTAGAAATAAACAGATATAGAAAAGAAAATCAATCAGGCAGTCGCCTCTGGGAGTCAGCTGCATGCAAAAAACTCGTATCTCTAAGAGGGAAAAAGTTTGATATCAGCCCTGAGTAGGTGAGGATATTTTATTTTGCTTAGCTCTTCTACCTGAGAAACAAGGAAAATTAACCCAGGCTGTGATGACACTGCTTCTGGGACCTAAATCATGTAGTTCACAGCTAACTCTGCTGTGCTTCTCTGTCCCACTGTGTTAGCTGTGACTGTTATACCCAGCACCTTGCACAAGTAGCTGTTGTCTTCTTCCTCTAGACCATGTGTTCTGCTGCTGCCATGACAAGCAGCCACAAGAAAACCCACCAGCCAATTGTTATAAGTCTCCTAAGCCTAAGGGCCAACTGGACAAAAGGAGACCTCAGCTGAAGGACTTCTACTGACTTCTTTGAGGTTTGGCTCAACCACTAGTTCCTCTCCTAATATTCATGCTATTAAGTAGCAGCCAGCTAGTGTCTCTTCTGCATCCAGTTGATGATAGTCCTTTGTGGCACTTACTTACCTTAAGGAACCATGTTCCAGCATTCAACTCCTGCAGGGTATCCCAGGAGAATAACGCAGCATTTTGACCAGTGTCATTGGGGTAGACCTCTTTGATGTTAGTTGTCCTCCTCAAGGTGCTGTCATGCATGAGGAAAGGAACCCCATCATAGCTGTTGGAGAGCAAGAGTTCAGGTCACCTGAGGTGCAGGTTCGTTCATGGCATGAGCAGACTCATGCCAGGTCAGAAGAATATATGGGCCACCATGGATGCAGCAGTACAGCCTCCCTCAGTGCAGGGCGGGTGGGATAGGGAGGAAGGCTGAGGCTCAAGACACCAGGTTATTTCCAGCTTAAATACTGCTGGGTGACCTTGGAGAAGTCATGCCTGTCTGTGCCTCAGTTTCCTCAGGGGAAAAGTGGAGATGGTGGCATTTATGCCTGCCAGCCTCCCCCAAAATGGATAGTAACATGGTGGAAATATCTTTTTGCTGACACCAAAGTGTTTCTGTGGGTTTCAGAGGACTGAAGTCTAAATGGACAGTGATGGAAATCATTCTAATAAAAAGGTCTACATTAGTAGCGCACCTAAGCATTAGTATTTTTCTTATTCAGTGCCTGGAAACTGCTCATCCTGCACAGCATGTTAGCAATTCATGGCAATGGATCCCCCAAACAAAGGCAATCAAAGATCTAATAATGAAGACAGTGCTGTCACAAGTCTCAACACAACTTTCTGTTGATTTGTAGGCCTGATACGACCCTCACTGTGGCCTGGAAGTCAGACTAGGGTAGGAACTTGTCTTTATACTCTACAAAGCATTTAAAATATACTGTAGAAATAATGATTGTTAAATCAATAGCTTATTGACTTGCCTGAGAACAACCATGCCCTACAGCCCCTATCATCACACGCCAACTGAGGGACCCTGCCCCAGCCATCAGCAAAAACTAATTGCACAGAGTTGCACATCTCCAAAGGCAACTCTTAGAAGAAGAAGAGTATATTCTGTGAGATGTAATGTTTTCCCCTTACCTAATGGTGACATCTGTTTCAAGACCATCCCCACCATGTTCAATTGTCTTCTGAAATGACATCTCAGTGTTTTCTGGTGCCAGCTGAAAAAAAAAAAAAAGTGCATGAGCAGATCATTTTCAAACACGCTTTGGAGGACTCCATAAGTACTTTCTGTCTTTTTGTAACACCTCTGGGTTTTATTAAGGGACCATTATTATCTTGTTAAAGTCTACTGCTTGTTTCCTTCCACTTTAGCCACCAAACCCATCTTGTCCCTCAGGAACAGTGTTATCCTTGTTAGCAAACCCATGCAGTGATGTCATAGAATAGAATAGAATAGAATCGTTTAGGTTGGAAAAGACCTTTAAGATCATCCAGTCCAACCATTAACCTAACATTACCAAGTTCACCACTAAACCAATTAAGGGGAGAGTCATAATTTCATGTTTCCTGGCTTGGTGGCTGAATTCTTTTTTAATGAAAGCAAAAACTAGGAATCATTAAGATTGGAAAGGACCTCTAAGATCATGATGCCAATCATCAGCCCAACACCACCATGCCCACTAAACCATGTCACAAAGTGCCACATCTACCCATTTTTTGAACACCTCCAGGGATGGGGACTCCACCACCTCTCTGGGCAGCCTGGTCCAATGCTTGACTACCCTTTCTGTGAAGAAATTTTTCCTAATATCCAATCTAAACCTCCACTGGCACAGCTTGAGCCCATTTCCTCTTGTCCTATCGTTTTCTACTTGGGAGAAGAGACCAACACGCATCTCGCTACAACCTCCTTTCAGGTAGTTGTAGAGAGCAATAAGGTCTCCCCTCAGCCTCCTCTTCTCCAGGCTGAACAACCCCAGTTCCCTCAGCCGCTCCCCATCAGCCCTGTGCTCTAGACCCTTCCCCAGCTTGGTTGCTCTTCTCTGAACACGCTCCAGCACCTCAATGTCCTTCCTGTAGTGAGGGGCCCAAAACTGGACACAGTATTCCAGGTGTGGCCTCACTAAAGCCGAGTACAGGGGGACGATCACTGCCCTGCTCCTGCTGGCCACACTATTCGTGATACAAGCCAGGATGCTGTTGGCCTTCTTGGCCACCTGGGCACACGGCTGGCTCATGTTCAGCCGGCTGTCTACCAACACCCCCAGGTCCTTTTCAGCCAGGCAGTTTTCCAGCCACTCTTCTCCAAGCCTGCAGCGTTGCATGGGGTTGTTGTGACCCAAGTGCAGGACCCGGCACTTGGCCTTGTTGAACCTCATACAGTTGGCCTTGGCCCATCGGCCCAGCCTGTCCAGGTCCCTCTGCAGGGCCATCCTACCCTCCAGCAGATCGACACTCCCACCCAGTTTGGTGTCATCTGCAAACTTACTGAGGGCACGCTCAGTCCCCTCATCCAGATAGTTAATAAAGATAAAGATGCCAAAGATGTCTTTGGCATGTAGTTCCAAATGGAAATGTCTCCCCTTCCACCCTCCACAGATTTCATGGAAAAAAACAGAAGATGATGATGAAGGTAGCAAGACACGGAAATAACTTCTCCAGACCTACCATTGGTGCTCCACGGTGTCCAATGAGGGCTGGCTTTGGTCCAAGTGTCCCCATCTCTCTGATGCAAGGAGAGTACATCCCCAGAGGTATCAAGAAAAGAAAGAGAAGGATAGCCAGGTATGGACCAACAATTATCACCTGAACAACTGAAAGAATTTGAAGGAGGAAGGCTAGAGTTAATCCATGTGGTAACATACAGGTTTGCCTCGCGGCTTCACTTTTAATACAGCCCTCCACCTCAGTAGCTGTTGGGCTTTGTCCCATCCCTTTTTCCATCCCTTCTTCCCCTAATTTTCACCTTCTCTCCAAACAATGCAACCTAGGAAAACAAACTGATCAAAGCAAGGACGTGGGCTAAGGGCTGCAGGTTTTGTGCTGTAATTACATCTCACTATGCCTTACAGCAAGACATGGCCTTAATTTCTTTTCTTTGATAGGTGGTGCAATGAAATATCCCCCATCTGTAGAAAAATAATCCTCGACAGAAGGATGCTAATTTTTTCTTACTCAGATAACAACAAGCAACATTTTGAAGTTTCATTCACAGTGAAGAAGAGGAGGAACCTTTCTCCTTCAACTATGTTACATCCCCTTAAGGTGAGTACTTGCCTGGTACATTCAGATTCCTGTTGGTGACCTTCTGTGTGTGACCTACAGAACCCTACAGACTCTGACTGCATGGGTATTGCATCTCAGAAACTTGAGAACTCATTACCTACAGTTTTCTCTGGAGTCTGTTGACACATTGCCCCAGTGACCCTTCACCTCAGGGAACAAAACAGTTCCTCTGAGAAATGAGCACCTATGCACAAACATCTCTTTCTTGAATGGGTACCACCATCCCTCTGCACATTGTGCCAGTGGCTCTGAAGGAACCTGGGCTTACAGCAAACTGATGTATTGAGCTGAGAGTCCATTAGGCATGGTGGACTGTAATGCCTAGGGTCCCAGCATATTCCCCCCAAACCTCCCCAGCTATAGTTCAATACGAAAAATCCTGGGCAGGAAAAAAAAAACGCTTTCACCAGCCCATTCTGTCTTTGATTCTTATTACAAGTCAACATCTGCAGATGCATGTTACCTAGATAATTTTGGCTATATCAGAAGACTAGGTCAGAGAAAAACAGCCAGTCCCAGAGCCAGGCTCTTCTGCAGTTGTTCCTGGCATCTGGCCTTGTTCTTTACGCTACTTAGTCACACTTCTCAGAAGTAGACAGAACTTGCTGTGGGATAACACTAGGCACTGATCAAAAAGCTCTTTCCCCTATCTCAGCTGGCTTCTCCTGAGATGCACTAGTCTGAAATGGATTGACTGGACGGGAGATCCCTTCTGAGACAGCGAAGCTGAGTATAGCAAGCAAAGGTCAGCCAAGAGAGCTGCTACTGGCTGCTTTCTCCTGCAGAGGGCTGACCAAATTTCCATGCATGACTCAGAACGTCAAACTGCTAATCTCCTCCATCTCAAGGCAGGTCACTGCCTTGGTATAGGCCAAAACTGTGCATAGGAGCATGCAAACCAGTAACACATCTCGACAGTCACAGGACAGTGCATAGCCCAAGCCCCAGCTCTGCTAATTTCCCTGGGATACACAGAGGCTAAAAGTCGCCTCCAGCTGGAGTGCAGGTGTGGGAGGAAAGGGGTCCTGCACTCCTGTTTTCCCACACTGATATATGCCTTTTGTCACATAGGGAGCAGGAAGCAGAGCTACTGTACCTTTCTTATCTGCTCTGATGGCATGAAGAGCCACAGGCCAGGACAGAAGGACCATGATGGTTATTGCCCCTATGTGGAGATAAGGAGCTGTGACCTGGTAAGGAGAGAAAAGGATTTTAGTCAAAGGGTGAAGTGGGGAGACAGATGGAAACAAACCCCAGCATGGCTACAGCCCTCCACCTGGATGGGCTCCTGCTGCGTATACCAGCAGTTCAACCATTCTTCCACATCCAGGTTGGATCCACCAAACACCTCTGGAGTCCAGGGAGAGATACATGCCCCCAGTCAGGCCAGCTCCTGGGGCTGAGAAGTGCTTCTCACTGCAGTATGCAGCTCTTCTTTCTCCTAAGTCAGCTGAAGGGGACAAGGCTGTCCTTGTCCATGAGGACGTAATCGCCATTATTGATATGCCATAATTTATGACCATCTTCTCAACAGCAGACAGTTTAATCCAATCTAACTCAATCCCATCCAGGTAATAGTCATATTGAAATCACACTGCACCTAAATCATTAAACTGATGTCAACACACCTGAGTGATAAAATGTGGTACTTACACCTGTATGGAACTAACTATTGTGGTATAAGAGAAGTAGTTAATCTGGTATATGTCTGATCATGAATATTATTAGAGTCATATACACCCTGCAGCACCTAATTTCACATATTATCAATATATGCCAGAAAAATAACTCATTTTCATTTATTTCAAAGTATTTAATTCACTTGCATTAGGGCTAATTGCATTTTTTCACTTTTTTTTACTTTTAACACAACTTGTAGACACTTTTCTTGATTTACTAACACAAAACATTGATTTAATGCTTATGCTATATTAGACAGTACCTAATGCTGGACAGGTAAAGTAATTTGACTTGATTTCTTTGGTCCTAAAGATTAAACAAGAAGATCAGAAGCTAAAAATCAGTTCTGCGCTTATCATGAATGCATGAGCAGAGCTGAAAACAAAGCAGAAATAGTTTGGCACTGAATGGATGCTCTTCACTCAAGTAATGGTGACATTAGAATTGGTATGACACACCTTTCATAAAACTACGAAAATCTGTCAAAGAAACCAATCCATCATGTCCATCAGAGCCCTATGGCTTCTGTTGCAGCTAGAACTGAGAGTTATTAAGATATGTGCTAGGAAAAAAAATCTATTCAGATGCAAGTCTTTCCTATTGTTTAGTCCATGCCTGAGTCTCTAAGCTGGAAGGGTTGAAGAAAGCAGCAGTCACTGAGAGGTGTTATTGCCTGTGATACTGTCTGCCCTGGAAACTTGATACCAACATCTTTCGATTAGAAGCAGGATTCAGTTGCATAAACAGAGGTGCCATCTGAGATGTCAAGGATATTTGAGATAGCTTTGCAAGGCTAATGGACATGACACAGGATCTACAAGAGATTCATGTCCTTTGGGAACAGCAGCGGGAGGCCATGTGAAGCATCTCAAAGGGCATGAACACCTAAAATAAATAGAACCTGTAGGGAACTCAAAGGCTCTTGAGTCTCCTTCTCCTCATCCATCTCCCCTGGAGTCTGTAAGGGGGAGGAGAAGTTGATGGTTTCTCATTACCTTTGCCAGTGCATAGCCCAGCAGCTACCCAACTCTGCAGAGCAGGGGCGTGCAATTAATCACACCCTACAAACACCACATCTCAAAGAGACTTCCATAACTCTGGAACTATGAATTGATTCCTCTTCCCATCCATATGCATTGCTCTCCCAATGTTCATAAGCAGTAAGCCACATAGGGGAGAGGTGATATGCCCAAATAACATCTGCAAGGCAGCTATGTAGGCACAGGCTTACATACTTCTTCCTTCCCAATACATGTGGGGACCCAGATGCTCAGGCACTAAACAACACTGGGCAGCTCTAGCCTCCATCTTCAGATCTGCTGAGAGTTGAGGAGGCCAGCGGACCATGCACTCTGACCTCCCACATAGAATCATAGAACCATTTAGGTTGGAAAAGACCTTTAAGATCATCCAGTCCAACCATTAACCTAACACTGCCAAGTCCACCACCATGTCCCTAAGCACCACATCTACACATCTTTTAAATACCTCCAGGGATGGGGACTCAACCACTTCCCTTGGCCAGCCTGTTCAAATGCTTGACAGCCCTTTTGGTGAAGAAATTTTTCCTACTGTCCAATCTAAACCTCCCCTGGTGCAACTTGAGCCCATTTCCTCTCATCCTGTCACTTGTTACTTGGGAGAAGAGGCCAACACCCACCTCGCTACAACCTCCTTTCAGGTAGTTGTAGAGAGCGATAAGGTCTCCCCTCAGCCTCCTCTTCTCCACACTAAACAACCCCAGTTCCCTCAGCTGCTACCCATCAGCCTTGCGCTCTAGACCCTTCACCAGCTTCGCTACCCTTCTCTGGACACGCTCCAGCACCTCAAGGTCTTTCTTGTGGTGAGGGGCCCAAAACTGGACACAGTATCCCATAGGTTTTCCCACCTGACAGCAGAGTTCCCCACCTCCTCCCCAAAAACTCAATGCTGTCCTGACCTCAGGAGATTAAGCTATTCTTAGTCACAGAAGACTGAAATTGTGCTAATGTTAAAGCTGCTGAACTGGCAGGAGCTGATTAGGGAGAAAGTTCTTGCTCCAGCAACCCTGCTAGCCAAAGGGGTCTGATTTACCTGCCCTGGGCACCTGGAAATTAACAGTACACCTACAACATTTTTTTTTAAAAAAAAAAAAAAGAAAGGATGTGACTTCCCAAACTGAGACATGTTACAGCAGATAGCTTGAAACTCAACCTCAGATCTTGGCTTCCTTTCCAGGAAATGTTAAGTCATAATAAAAGTTTACTCAAAACCACGTACCCTGCCAGGAAAACACGTGTGAAAAACACTCAACATATGGAATACTTTCTACCATTACCACAAAATACTTCTATAAACAAGTTGTTCTTTCAAACAGACCTCCCAGCCCCTCTTACCTGGAATGACAGGCGGACAGTTTTCCATTGATCTCCCCAGAGTACTGATAATATGAAGAGGGCTGTAATAGAGAAGCCCAGGACAATAAAAGTCCCTATCTGGGAGAAAAAGAAGACATAAACCAGCTTCAGCATTTCTGCACAGGGTGTGCCATCCATTTGACTCACAGGCTTATTTAAGCAGCTTAGCCTTGATAAGTTGGGATGCATGAGCTTGACTATGTCAGTTCAGAGACAGAGAGATTTAATGGGACTAAAACCACACCAACAGTGCTATCCATTGGCTTTTCTGTATGGCAAGATTGATCTTAAAAGTTGGGTACCCAACTAAGTCAGCCTTCAAGGCTCCCTCTATAATCACTGCAGAAAGAGAAATTTCCAGGGGTGATCCATTTCTGCTTGCTTTATGATGGGAGATGCGCTCTCTCTCTCTCTGTTGATGTAGATGGAGCCTAGATGATCAGTTTACATTAAATCCCTAACCTACAGATGCCTACATCCAGAAGTGATTAATTCCACCCAAAAAAGACAGAAACACAGCTTCCTTATGCTATTGCAACAGGCTTCAGCAAAAGCAAACACTCCCATAATTAAGTGATGAGAGTTCACTTTTTAACCAAAAAAGCAAGGAGGTAGCTCAGTCTGTTCTTTGGCTTCTTGTGCAGTTTGGTCCCAGCGCAGTTGTGATGCCAGACTCTTCTTGGTACATATTCTATCTGCTGAGGACTAAGTGCAAGTAGAAATTGGACCAAGGCACTAACCATTCTTCAGGGTGATCCTACAGATCAACGCCTTAATAATATGTCCCTAATCTCTTCCAGACAAGGATGCAGTCTCAATTTTTTTTACAAATTGTTCTACATCTTTCTGGTTCTTCTGGAACCCAGTTTTCAATAGCAAAGATGACTGTGTTTCTATTACTTAAATGACAAAACACAGGATCAAGTATCTGCACATTCAGTTATTCCCTTCCACTGCAAGATTTGCAAGCACATTATATTCTCCCCTAAACTGCATGGCTAGGGGCTCATTTTTGAAATGCCTCACTCAAGAATTTCTTAAGGAGGGTGATTCTAGTGCAACTTTTGCAGCAACAGCTCTCTGAGGATTTGTTTCTACACCTTCAAAACTCCAGGTGGCATTTCCCAAGCCACCCAAAGACCAAAAGACACAAGGCACCAAGATGCCTTGGAAAAGACAGATTTCTCTTCTGCAGTGACAGCAGCCACTTTTTTCACCGCTGCTGAAGCCTGCTACAGAAAATTACACCGTGTTTCTCATGGAAACTTTCTTTTGTCTTCATGTTACCACATGTAGACGTGTCAAATATAGACATCTTCACCTGAATGAGTCACCACAAGCTCCTTTTGGAGTCAGTGGGGGAAAAAGGTACTTTAGGTGTGATTCATCTCATCTTAATTTAGGTGTCTATGACCAGCTGGATGAATTACATCCTCAGGGGATTCATTTCACTGACTGAAAGGGCATTTAGGCGATCAGCTCAGGTGGAGATATCATTCTTATGGGTATCTAAAGTCTCCTAAGATTAACCTCTTCCCTCTCTTCCTTCTCTCCCATAATCTAAGATGTTTTTCATGCAGAGACACATCACAGACTCAATTGGTTTAAAGCATGGATTAGAGTTACCAGAAAGCCCTGACTCTCCCTACCTTGTGACTCCAGTGTAGGTACAGCTGCTGACCCTCTGCAAGCAAACACATCGCTAGGACCTGGAAAATCAAGAAGAGATTGTTTGCATCCTGGTAGAAAATGGTGAGGTGTGTTCAGTGAGGTACTTCTGTGTCGTGGTTTAGCCCTAGCCAGCAAGTAAGCACCACGCAGCCCGCTCACTCACTCCCCCTTCCTCGGTGGGATGGGGGAGAGAATCAGAAGAGTAAGAGTGAGAAACACTCCTGGGTTGAGATAAGAACACTTTAATAATTGAAAAAAAGTAAAATAGTAGTAATAGTGGTAATAATAACAATAAAATAATAATAGCAATAATAATATACAAAGCACGTGATGCACAATGCAATTGCTCACCACCTGCCAACCGATACCCAGACAGTTCCTGAGCAGCGATCGCTGCCCCCCAGCCAACTCCCCCCCAGTTTCTATACTGAGCATGATGTCATATGGTATGGAATAGCCCTTTGGCCAGTTTGGATCAACTATTCTGGCCGTGCTCCCTCCCAGTTTCTTGTGCGCCTGGCAGAGCATGGGAAGATGAAAAGTCCTTGACTAGCATAAGCAGTACTTAGCAACAACTAAAACATCAGCGTGTTATCAACATTCTTCTCCTACTAAATCCAAAACACAGGACTATGCCAGCTACTAGGAAGAAAATTAACCCTATCCCAGCTGAAACCAGGACATTCTGGAATTATTTTGCTTTGGGAAGTCACTTTACACTAGGTCTTCCTGCACAACGTCAAGGCTGTTAGCATGACTTGACTTTGTGAGTACAAATTCTGAAAGAGAAATGATGGCCAGGATCAACTGCTATGGTATGAACCAATACAGCACTAATCTTGCCTATTTTCTCTGCATTTGTTGTGATTCAGGGCATATCTGCCATGGGAGAGCTGTCAGGGACTAAAAAATGCCTCCAAAGCACCACAAAAATACAGAGCAGACAGCAAAGATGACAATGCTTCCATAGTAATCACAGGAAACGCAAGAGACAGGCACATCTCAGAACAGGGAAAACTGCCTTGGAGATTAAAAGACTCTAGTTTTCGGTGGCTGGCACGTTCCTTCCCTCTGATTGCGAGTTGGCACCCTTGGGGAGGGTTCCTGTGAGGCATGGCACAAACCCCAGCCAGGGCAGGGGACAACCCAAGAAGCCTTAAACACCAAAAAGCAAAGGATGAGGAAAGCCAGTCCATGACTCTGATGGAAAGTTTCGTCAAGTTGTCCCAGACCTAAGAAACCAATGAACCTGGTGATGAATTTCATCAGGAGAAGTACCTTGTTGCCATGAAAGTGCATAGGTCTATGCTCAGGAATCTGAGTGCCTGAGCCAAGCTTTCTGAGCACTGTAAAGGACAATTTGGGGACCAGTATCACCAGATATCAGGGTTTAAAGAAAAATATCTGTTAGTACACATCAGTGCTCCACTGAGAAGGATCATTTATGATCCAGGTCCCTCCAGACCATAACACAGTGGGATTGTGCAAAAGCAGGACATAGAGATTTAGGGGAAGGGTCTCTGCTTGCCCAAAACATAACTAGAAAGGAATGTAAGCTGTTTCCCATCCAGCTATGAACACACTTTCTTTCCAGGATCATGCTGATTTGAAGTGAGATATAAGCTCAGCAGAGAATACAGATCAGCTTTTAAGTGCTTCTTGACATGTTAGCCCCCTTTAATCGAATCCTACACCCAGTACATGACAAGTAACCATGGGAGCAGTTCAGAGACCATTTAATTATTGCTGAAGATCTTAAGTGAGCCCCATTTAAATAAACCATTTCAGAAAAAGGAAGAAAAAAAGACACTTTCAAAATTGCCCCTTTTCTGCAAGCCATGTTACAAAGACATTGCCTAAGGTACAGCCAAACACTTACTTCACAGGTTGTTCTCAACAGGGCTTGCTCCTGCACTATAACATTTGTATGAATGATGCACCACACCTGGGAATGCCATCGGAGGGTGAGCTCATTTTTGTGGTTGGAAACAACATCTCATTAGTAGCTTACAAGAAGAATAATCACTAGGTTTCATCCTCAGAGGGTGAAGAAGGAACTCTTGCAGTTACACCGCTGGTCACCGTAGGAGAACACATTTCGATGGACCGGTGAGCTGCTGTAATGTGGACAAGGTTTATCCTCTGGCACAGTCAGCTTGAGTTTGCTTTGCTTTCCTTGTGTCCCTGAAGCTTAACATCTCAAGCCACAAAAGTCTAGCTTCATCCTGCTCCTCAAAAGCTGCTTCAGGACCTGTCCCATATGCTCTTCCATAGAGAGCAGCTGCCTTTAGCAACATCCCACAGGCTTGCACCTGGAGCAGGACTTCCTCAGGCAAAAGGACAACCAGCACCAGCAGGTCTGGCTCTTCCAAACTGCTTCCATACATATCCTGGGATTGTCTAACACAAGTACACAGGCATGTGGGTTTAGGTGACTGATACATGTTTGACTGTTACTGCTGAGGCCAGAGCCAAGATCCCTTTTGCCACCCCTATCATCTCCCTGAATCTTACAGCCTCTAACACTTGCATTCTTCACTTCTTTCATATGAGATGGGGAAGTGTCTCCCCTCCACCATCTACCTGCAAAGTGGTAATTAAGGGATGCTTTCCAGTGATGAGAGAGATGGATTTACTGCAAGGGGGATTGCACCTCTGTCTCCCTCTTTTTGACTCAAAAAGAGCATTGACCATAAGGTTATGCTGCAAAAGGATGAATAGACCCTTAATCCCACTCTGCTTCAGCATGGGAATGACCTTGTGCTGATTTCAATACTGCTGGTGAGGCTTAGGCAGGCTCTGAACCTACCACCACAAGGATGCAGAGGCAGGTACTTAGACACTCAGCTCACCTAAAATATCTGCTCACTTAGATGTTCACAACAGCAGAATTCAGTCCCTACATTCATTTTCCGGCAAAAATGCAGCAATTCAGAACTTCTCTGGTACCCTAGTCTCTTAGGGATGGAGGTTTGAGATCACTTCTTGAAGTTCAGCACCACTATATTATTCTGAGTTCTTTCTTAGCCCGCAAATGCAGAGGCCACAACACACCTGAACCTCTTTTATTGTACAGTCATGAGTCACCTCCTCAAAACTGTTGGAACAAACATGGTTGAACTGCAGAGAGGAAAATTTTATGTTGGTATTTAAAGACTGAACAAGAAAAGTTTTTTCTTCTCCACTGAGCATGAACTGCTCTGCAATTAGACCCCTCAGCTTAACCTTTTAGCTCTAATGGGGATGAGAAAATTGTCTTGCAGAGTGATAACAATTGAATTAATTGAAACTGATTGTCTGAAAAAATTACAATGATGTATGCAGACGAAGAGTGTCTTTGTGCAGACAGCAAGTGCTTTGTTGTGCAGCGTTTTGTTCAGCTGCTGGTGGCTGGTGGGCTTCAGTGGGCTTCAGAGTGTTTGCTTCAGTGGTTCACAATAAGGTCATGGAAGCAGGCTTGCAGGCTCCGGTTGGGTGCCATCATTAAGGAAGAGGGTATGGTGCTCACAAACAAAACCAGACCAGCCACCGGTTGCTATAAAATCTCTCTGCTCCAACAAGGGCATCAGTGTGCTCAGTTTTCTGATGTGATGGGCTGCTGATGCAAAACATCACAAGGAAACATTGCCTGGGTGATGGTCTCCAGTCTTTTCTGCAACACATGTGGGGATAGTCTCCATCCAACACTGTTCAACCAGAACATGGGATGTAATGCATGGTGGGGGCAACCTATTTGGCCATCAGTCGTTTGAAATGTATTAGAGTGATCCAGCTATCATATAGTACCCACAATAATACATTTCTTTAGCTATGGAAGGGCTGAGTTGCACTTATTAGCCTGTGAGGTTGTTAGTGTTTTGCTGGGTGGTTCATCAAAGGCCACAGTGAAAGGCCAGACACTGTGATGGGGAAGCTCTGCAAACAGCGATGGAGAGGTGATTCCTGGCCGAGTCCTTCTCTGAAAGGAGCCCTGCTGGGATGAGCATGGCCAAGCCACAGTTGTCATCACATGACCCTGCATGCAGGTGTGCAACTGCAGCATGACCCCGCATGCTTTGAGGTAGTGGGAGCATGAATGGTGGTGGTGATTGCTTTCACTTGCTCCCCTTTCCTTCAAGACCTAATCCTGTTTAGGTAACAGCTCTGATGGTGTGGGGCCTCATGCCTCCCAGCACCCACTGCTCAACACTCTACACAACGAAGAGTGGGACCAAGACTGAAGTGAACCATGTGGGACACCAATTTCACCTTGTATTTTCCATCTACCTTTCTGGCTTCACTTTGCCTACCACCTGCCCTGAGAGCTTGCAGCCATCACATCCGCGCTGCCAAAGACATGAAATTCCCCTAAAAAAGTCCACTGTTTGGACACTGGCTGATGTTTGGATCCAGACAGAGCATGACCGAGCTGACACACCAGCCCCAGAGGTCTTCAGGCTCCTCAAGCCCAGGAAATCATGTAAAGTCCATTTCTAGCATGTGTTATGATGGGTTATCCTGAGGTTGACTCCACATCCGCAGCCTGCTGAGGTACAATCTCAGAGGTATCCATGTCACATGGGCATCTCTGGCAAAGCTCTGAGGTGCCTGAAGTAGCATTATAACTGCCAAACCACCCACACTGTCCCATGGCCACTGGGAAAGCCAGGTAGGCTTTGCTGAATAGTAGACATTGAGCCCTAGAGCCATCAGGGTGTCACAAAATCCTTGTAATTAAATATTGTTCTTTGTCCTACTCAGAGATCAGTCCACAGCATTTACGATGCTATTGATTGCTGTGGGCATGGCCAAGCAGCTGTCCTATTTATCACTTTGGTATTTTATTGCTAGCACTAGAATAAAATCACTATTTATTTGTACTTCAGCAGGGACAAAGGACCCCAGAAACCTATTGTGTTAGGCACTGCATGAACATAGCAAAAAGAGATTCCCTGCCATGAGCAATTTACAGATTGACTATATGATGACACGTCAGGGAATGGGTAAGAACAGCAGGCATTGATGATAAAGGAATTGATGATAGAAGCTGGTTGTCTTGGTCACAGAGGTGAGTCAAAGCCATAACCTCATCCTCAGCACCCAGCATTTCAAAATGAAAGTTGGAGCAGGCATGGGACTGAACGTGGACTCCAGCCCCTGGAGTTAAAGTGATTTCTTAGCCTAAAGGTCTGGATGCAGAGGGTGGAAACACAGATGTGGATCTGTCTTTATTTGGGGAGTCCCTATGAGAGAAAGGACAGGGAAAAAGGATGACTAGGTAGAAATTTCAGGACACACTTGCTTTTGCTATGTTTCCAGTAACAAAGCAGACAGCAAATCAGAAGTCTAGAGAAAATTTCACAGGATTTGGAAAAGTGAAATTTTCAGAAACATTGCCTCTTTGGGCATAAACTTCAGGACCATTTTTGTGACCACGTGTGCAGTCTCTACCTGCAGAGAAACCCTCCAGCAAAGCAGACAATCAAGGCAGCTTCAGTGATAAAGTTCCCCTTCTTCTAATGAGCGTTTTTATTCAGGATTAGAGGAATAACTCAGCTTTGATCACATACCACCACGGCTATGTGACTTGGAGCCGCATACTTCCCTGCTGTCAAAGCAACAATCTTTAGCTTCCCCTAAACCTAAATCCAGACACTGCTGGCTCAGCTTTCCTTGGGTTCAAGGAGAGACTGGACACATTTATCAAAGGGAAATCATTGAGAGAAATCACAGAAACTACATCTGGCTCAGAAACCCCCAAGTTGAAATTGGTCATCTGCAGGAGGACATGGGGAGAAAGTACCAGAAACGCTTGTGTTCCCAGTCTTCCCCAGGTATCCACTGTCTATGGATATCCCTGATCGTATGCAGGGCTAGGCTGAGCTTTGGTCTGGCCCATTAAAGCCATCCCTATGCTTACTTTTTAGGACTATAAATCACGGTCAGCTTACAAGGAGCATTACTTACCAATAACAGTGTGATGTATACGAACAAGATTGCAGCCACAATCAGGAGAACAAGAGACCAGAGAAACCAGAAGCCCAGGTTCCCATAGTTATACCTAAAAAGCAATAAAATATTATGATAGTGCTTGTGTTTAGCACATGGACTGGAGGGGAACAACAGCCCTGTTCCTTGACATTTTGAAATTTTCCTAGCAATAAAACAAAGAGGGAGGGAGGAATAACCAACCCTGCAAAAGTGGTTAAGAGCCTCCTTCCCGAAATCCATGATTGCATTAGCCACCAGACTCATACCCCAACATACTGGGGTGGTAAAATACAGGTCTAAATTGATCATCTTGCTCCAGAGAGCTCATAGTTTGACTGTAAGACACAGCACCTTGCTGCAGACAAAGCAGCCTGGGGAAACAGTAAGATGACATGGCTCAGGCCAATAGTCCACCTTGTCTGCCTGTGGTTGTGTAGGGCATGGCACCAAAAAGGGGATTTGAGACAGGTTTTGATGGAGAAAACACCGGAAAGCTGGAGGAGCAGCAGAGATTGCCCAAGGAGAGAGAGAGGGAAGCTTTACTTTTTACCGAAAGGCTCAATAAGGATGAATAATATTATTACACCTTTCCTCCCCATAATATCTGAGCTGTTTTAATTTAATTTTAGGGGCCAGATTTGCATAACTGTTACCTACGTACTGCAGAAGGAAAGGATTTGCATAAATCCCTGCCAGTTATTTCTTACTTTTGAGCCTGGGAAAATGCAATTCTCTTTGCAGTGAGATAGCTGGTGCAATGCCTCTGATGCCAGCCGCTGCATTTCTTCAGAGGGAATGGGGGTGTAAAAAAGACTCAGAGAAGGAAAGGGAAGAGTTATTTAGTCCCCTTCACTCACAATTTTTGTGATGATGATTCTCCCCTTTCTCCCAAATTCACACTTACACCTAAAAACTGTAGCCAAGCGAAGTGCAGAGCCTCAGCACCTCTGAAGTCACTGGACATTCACTTTGGATGCTGTAACCAAGAGTTTAAGGAACTAAATCTTTGGCTCATGGCTAAAGTGCCCTGCTGCAGCACAGCTGCTGGAGAGGGTGCTCATCTCTTCCGAGTCACCCTGGGGACCTGCCCGAGGAGCGGTAGAGGAGAAAAAGATGGTACTTACCAGTCAAAGTTATTGTAGTCATTTTTTGCTTCACCCCACATGTACAGAAAGACCAGAGAAAAGCAGAAAGCTCCAACAAGCAGTGGGAAAAACATGCATTCCCGCTGGAGAGGGAGAAAAAGGACAAGTGGTCAGAGCCTTATCTACCCCAAAGCAATCAGAGAAAATGGCAGATACTTTTAGGCTGTCCATAAAACATGTGGCTTGGTGCTGGACATCCAGAAGCAGAGAAGGAGATGACTTCCCCCCTGTCCTCTGTGATCAGGGGCATGGCCTTAAAAGCATGCTCTGCAGTATTTATTTTCAGAGAAAACAGATCTCATGACTTCACAAATTAACAGGATTTTAACCACCTCATGTGAGAGGGAACTGCACTATGCAACAGTCCTCTTCACAATTTTTACTGCACACCCAGCCAAAATTTTCCTTCTTTGATTTGATCCCATGGCTTTGAGATGTCTCACCAGCCTGGAGGGTTTGGTGCAAGGTCCTTTCCTGCCACCACACATTTGTTAGCTGCATGGTGGCACAGACAAACTGAGCCTGCCATGGAAACACAGCAATATATCATAGAATCATAGAATCATAGAATCATAGAATTGTTTAGGTTGGAAAAGACCTTTAAGATCATCCAGTCCAACCATTAACCCACACTACCAAGTCTACTCTAAGCCAATCAAGGGTAGACTAGACTAAACCATGTCCTGAAGTGCCACATCTACCTGTTTTTTAAACACTTCCAGGGATGGGGACTCCACCACCTCTCTGGGCCAGTCACGTAGAGCCAAAATCTAACAACCCAACAGATCTCAGTGCGCTCCAAATGATGTTGGGCAGGGATGCCTTAGGCCCACAACATCAACCACTTGTCAGCTTGGACCGACCTGTCTCTATACACAAATCAATGTCTGTGCTGATTTTGAGCTAATTTACCGTCTTGCAGCAGCATTTCCCAGGCTCAGTCCTTCCGCGCTGGTACCGCTTCCACCGGCAGCTGTAGAAACCAGCCAGGCAGGAGATGAAGGGCTGGTGCTCATATCTCTGTAGCAAGTGCCGACGTACCACCTTCAGCTTCCCAAACTTGAGCCTCTTGAGGCTGGTGGCGCTGGCCTCCATCTGAGTGGCTTTATCTCATCTTTCTCCTGAAACGAGACCACAGGTTTTATGGGGAGACTGTAAACCTCCTTTCCTTTTGGGTAAGCTTTTCATATCAGAAGAAAGAGAGGAAGTTTTCTCAAGAGGATGCCGCAACCAGCAGGGAAGGGTGCTGAGAACACCCTACCTAATTTTATATACCTAAGTGACATGTCTAACAGAAAAGCGTGGTCATTGCAAGTCCCCTCAGCAGTCAGTTGTGCTCCTGCTGGTAACTTAGGTGCTCTGAATCACCTCTGAGGGAACCTCTGCCTCTTCTTGACTATACAGGGAGCTCTGGGAAATGAAATTACTGACTTAAGCACTCTGTGCAGATTCTCAAAGTATGTCAGATGAACCTGAGCCTAGGCTTAGCCATGGGAATTAATTCAACATCACTGTGAGCTGTCTGCAACCTGCCACCAATTTAAGTAGCTTTTGTAGGAAAGGGACTAAAACTCCAGGTACACAGGTCTCTTGTCCTGGCAAAACTGCAGCACTGCAGAGACTGATCCCTTAAGAAAAAATTATTTCCAGACTGAAATAGCTTTACTTGGCACATTTTTTCAGGGTAGAAGGAGTAGCTGTAAAGATGCACACATGGGAGATCTGTTCTTAAACAAGATTTTAAACAAAGAACTTGGTGGTAAATTGCAACCCATGTAGTTAACGGCGAATAGCACAGGGGTTTGTGCCAGCAAAGAGCAATTCACCCAGCAGGGCACTATCAAGACCACAAGGAAAGTTTCAGAAAAAAAAGTCTTGCGTTGACATACAAAGAAGTGCCATTACCCAGCACTTCTTTAGAGTACAGAGATAGCCAGAGATGTTTTTCTGTTGCATTAAAAAGTGCCATGTCTGGATCCAGGCATGTCTGATGCAGATTCCTAGCCTAGAACTCCAATTTCCCTGATTTATCTGATGCAGTAACAGTCATTTAAGAACAAGACTGAACAATGTGCTGCACTATACACATAGATCAAATGCACACGTAAATTGTCTGCAAATAACTCAGAGACCAGTGTGTCTTTGCAGAAATCAGTGGATAAATCCTTGCAAATTGACACTTCCAAAAAACTGAGCAGTTTGCAGAAGGCACAAACAAAACAGAGACACAAGAAGCAAGTTAAAACTGAAATGACACATCCCTGGTACCCTTTGCAAATGTCCCAGTCTATTGGCAGCTGGGCTGCAAGGAGAGAGGATGGAAATGAAACAAAAAGGGTTTCAGTTTGGACTACTGCTATGAGCAGCGCCCAAGCATGCCATGCCCTGAATGTTTTGCTGAGACAGACGCGTCTGCCCATCCAGGACAGTCACTGGGAACCACACACTCTTGGATGTGGTGGTGACCCCATCTAGCCATCCCTAGAAGCTCAGCAGTATCGGATCTGGGCACCAGTAGGTCACCCCATAGTAAAAAATTGATGCCAATCTCATGTGGCAAGATGGTGATCCTGCTCTTGAATTATCCAGAGCACAGATGGGGGGTGCGGGCGTTATGCCACTGGCGAGTGGTGCAGATGACAGCTGATCCTCCTGCCTTCATCAGCCGTCTTCAAGTACACCTGACATAAACTCAGCAAGTTACCCCAGCCACATATTTTGAATATATTTGAACCTTCAGAGATCTTGCCAGAAGGGTGTCATGTGCCATGGGCTTGCAGTATTTGTTACCTCCTACAAGGATCCCTAAACCATGAATTTCCCTGTCACTGAACCACAGCATCAGTTCTTCCCCAGCCCTTCTCTTTCAGCAATAGGAATCCAGGACACTGGATCAAAATCAGCAGTTTTGCTGGCAGGGGCCCTGAGGTTTGTTACTCACACTCCTGGTGTGGGCACGAGGCTCACAAATCAATATTTACCTAGGAGCACATAGGATTTGACAGGAAAGCAGAGATAAGAGACCTCAAAACACTGTTCGCTCCATCTGGCTGGCTACAGCAGTATGTCAGGTATTAAATATAGGTGTTAGTCTACCCCTCACAAAAATTGCCAGTGATGGAGATCCCACCAGCTCCCAAGACAGGCTAATCCAGTCCAAACTAGCTTTAACATTTAAAGGGTTTTTTGTTTGTTTGTTTGTTTTTCCCAAAGTCTAGTCTTCTGTGGTACAGTTTAAGCCCACTACTTCATGCCCTGTTCATGGTGGATATAAAGAACAGTTCAAACTTCTCCTCTGTGACATATTTCACAACTCTTCAGATGTCTTCCCCCAAGCCCTCTCTAGACTGAACAACCCCAGCTTTTCTAGTGTTTCGTTGTAGTTCATGTTTTCTCCGCCTCAAAGCATCCTCGAAAGGATTCTCCTTGCATTTCCCATGGGTTTTGGCACATGGCAGATGTAACAGGATGCGGTGAACAACCCACAGCCCCTCCAGGGCAGGCCTGTGCTCATAGCACGGGCTACTCAACACTGGCAGCAGCATCCAGTTTCTCTCATGTATCAAACACATCATCTGTTTTTTGTCATCTGAGTACTTAAATAATTCAAATAATTCACCCTGAACTCATCCCCAGTGGCAAGGGAAAGGTGTTTTCAGCTTTATGCACTGGAGCACTTAAGAACACCTCCATAATTAAGAATTTAATGAACTCCTGCCTTAATCTTCCCACATAAGTGATCTCTCCAAGCCCAGGGGTTGTTGGGGAAGGGACCCTTCATTGCAGGTCAGGCTGGGGAGGGAGGAAGCGAGGAACACAGCCTCCTTTCCACAACCACCTCCATCAGTCTCTAGCCCTCTCAAAAACATCAAAAAACAAAACCATCAAAACCCAAAGAAGAACAGCAACCTTTGTGTCTCACATCCCCTCAATCCCCATTGATCCTGTTGTCCAAGATGTTTAGCCATACCACTATAGCAATAACACATTTCAGTACCAAGAGATTCAAAGAGCTGAGCCCAGGCACCTCAAACAAAGTCCTCAGGGCATGGTGGCACCCAGCCCTTGCCACCTTTTGGGAAGCAGCACTTACGAGGCTTAAGTTTAGATATCTGAGTTGACAAATTCTGCTCCCAGGAAAACAATTGCTTGAAGCTGTTTATAAGAAGGAGCCCACCACCCTCTCCCATCCCTTGCCAGCATCTGATCTTACTAGGGGATGAGAGCTACTCTGGCTGAAATCCTCCTCTGCTCAAAAGAGAAATGGCAATGCACAAAAGACCTCGCAGTCACCTGCCAGACCCATCCAGAAACAGAACCAGAGACTGACAGAGGCTAGAGACCAGGGAAGTCAATATACCTGTTATATCACATCTAGTGGGATCAGCAAGCTCTCGTCCAAAGCAGAAACCACTCTGCCAAGCCCCAGGTCATGACTTGACCCAGGGCTGCTCCTGCTCCCTCTGAGCATATGGGACTCATAGGAAAAATCAAATGGGACACTTGGAGCCACTCTGCCCTGCAGCTGTACAGGACTGCTGGGTCTCTGCTGAGAACCAAAGCACAGGAGATGCTTGCGACAGCAGATAAAAGGCAGTGCTTGTGTGTAGATGCAAAGGAAAGAATTTACAGGGATAAGGAAAACCAGAGACGACTCACGAAATGTTTGGGCTACTTCACTCTGTGACTCCTAAGAAGAGCTCATCTCCCTCTGCAGCTCTGTGGGATACAAGTATCTGCGACGCATTCATACTGTGCTGTTGCTGGCATCAGCAAACACTCCAGTGGCAACTCCAGGAGAAGTTCAGGAGAAACCCCTCTTAGCGGTGACAAGTCCCATGTGAGGATGAGGAAGCAAAGGCAAACACGAGGGCAGCCAGAAAGGTCCTTTTCAGCTCAAAATGTACTCAGATCTCCAGGCACCCCTTTCTTCTCCTTATCTGTGTCCTTCCAGACAAGCATCACTCCTTCCCTTTTACCTCCACACCTTCTCCCAGGTTCAGGTGTACCTCCATATGCTTATATATTGTGTTTAATTTAATGCAAGCTCCCTCTTTACACCTCAGCCACTCTTCAGGTTCTCCATTACCCTCCATCCCGCCATTCCCTCCTTGCTCACAAATTACCAGCCTGCTGTTACAGCTGCGGTGAGGCATTTAGAAGCCATAAAAACATCTCTCATAAGGTCTGGCCTGAATCTGCCATGCCTCAGACCACATCAAACATTGGAGTGTTTGAATTCATAAGCATCTGACCCTAACAAATATCCCAGCATCTGGGCCCAGTGACCACCTAAGGGGCGAACACCACCACAACATACAGTAGATGCAGAGGCCAAAAGACAGGACATCTGCATTAGGATCTGGAGCAGTTCAGTCATTGCCAGGAGGTAGCAAGAGGCCTTGCATCTTGCTTTGCATCTAGGTTTGAAGCAGAGTGCTCCTAAAATTTACAGGATGTCTGCAATCCCTGCCCATCTCTGCCATGCAAAGGTAAATGGATAGAGGAGGGAAACAGCAAACCTGAATCCATTGACTGGGAAAGCCACGGGAGCAAACAGCAAGCAGGAAAACATGCATCAGTAGGAGAGCAAAGTTTAGGACTCCTTAGCAAGTGAGCCATGAAAGCAGTAACATATGTTTTTCAGCTCCATAAACCCAAGAGACCTCAGGTCTTTCCCTTGCAAACAGAGACTTTGTTTGCTCTCAGATAAGAGTCCCCATAATCACAGGCATTTGGACAGGGCTGCTTGTTTCCCACTGCTTGACAGAGAGTGAGGAAAAGCATGAGAAATAGCCCCAGGGGGATGATGGAGGAAGGAGTAGGGGAGGAAAAGCAGGAAGCGTATTCAGCTGCACAGGCTGAACGCAGAAAGTACCGCAAGTGGAGCTTGCTTGAGAGGCCAGTGCACAAGCAAGAGAGAGTGCCCTTGTCCTTTTTGGTGCTGTAAAGCTGGAGCATTCATCTTTCAACGGGTAAACAGGTACAGCAGCCAAACCTGGCATTGCCCTATAGCTTTTTCTTTGGACCTTTTTTTAAGTCCGTGCTTTCTCCCTTTCCTTTCTCCTGCATCTACCCAGCTTTCTCCAACACAATATCCTACAACATGTGGGCAGGTGGGTG